GTAAAATTGATATTGAGGTTATGTCTAACATCTCTTGAGTGAAAGCTTTCAACAGAAACTACTTCCGATGTATACTTTTCCTTACATTCGTGAAATTAATATTGAGGTTATGTCTAGCATCTCAAGAGTTTCTCCAGGAGAAACTAATACCGATGTCTACTTTTACTTAAATTCGTGAAATTAATATTGAGGTAACGTCTGATCTATTAATTGTCTTTAAGTGCTGATCGAATTTAGTCTTGATTGATATCACTAATGACAGATAACACAATGATTCTACGCGCACGTAAATCCTACAGTATTCAATTTCCTTGCGTTGGAAAATGACGTAATTGCTATGGGATTTTAAATTTTGAAGATAATTTTTTTTAATTAATTTCATATAACTTTAATTTATTAATGATAGTTAATTGAAAAATTGTCTCTGTATCATCGTTGATATTATGGCATTCATTGTGTACATACAATTATGCTAGAGCTACCCTTATAATCCAACTTCAAATGTCACAAGTGTTCTTATAATAAATTGATTGTCAATTTTCTTATGTCATTGAAATTTCTATTGTCCGCGAATATGTTAATATTCTATGGTATGATTAAATTTTCTCTAGATTGCAAACTTTTATGAAACCTTCAACTTGACATAAACTGTTGTTTAGTAAACGATATTTTTATATTTAATATATCCGACTAAGAATTCATTGGTCCTGGCTTCAAATCTCAAGTCCGGTACAATTTTCAATAAAGTCGATGGCTTAAATGATTAGTAACCTTAGATCTGTACTCTTCTAAGTTTTCTTTTTTCGGTTAAATATCTACAATATATTCGGAAAAAGGAAAACAACTAATAGCAATACCTAGTGCAATTTTTCTACGGACCTCTCAGAGAGATTCAGTAATAAAAACACTCAACGATCTGTCAGAATTTCAAAAGCAAAACGATTCAATAATAAATATTTGCTAAGAATGTGTCAAGTTTTGTTGCGGGGTAGCTTGAATAGTGAGCAATAAGTCCAAGTGAAGATTGTTTGCGGATACCATTATAAACCGATGGCAGTCCGCAAAAGTGCTTAAATCAAATACCTACGCTCTGCCTTAGCTTTACTACCTACGAGGCAAATAACCCTCAAAACCTTTGCATTGCCTAATTAGCTTAATATTCTGAGTCCATATAGCCGTGCTTATGCTTATCGCTTACTTGGCTCCTATTAGTATTTTCCAAGTCGCAGATAACCATCCTCCGCTTTAGCTTTACAACCTTTGAAGCAAATGATGCTCAAGTTCTTTGCATTACCTGATTACCTTAAGATTCTCAGTCTAAGCTGCCATGCTTTTGCTTATGTCTTACTTGTCTTACCTGTCCTAATAGCATTTTCCAAGTTGCAAAAGCAACCAAGATTATCTGTAAGAGATTTCTCGAAGCTATCCTACTTTTTTATACAGCGTTGGCAAATTTAAGCTAATTTTGATACTCTGTTTGCTTTAGTTAGAAACGTCCATCACGCTACTGCATAAGCTTGAAAAGGTGATATCATCTTGTGCGCACTAAATATTGGGTCATTTTTGACAATTTATAGAAAATATATTGCTGTTTGAACTTCTACGACGAAAGCACATATCTTAAAGGGCGTAAGAAAATTTTTCTTGCGGTGCAAGAGTATATTAACCCTGCGCACGTGTGTGGCGATCGATTCAGAATCATTTTCTGAAGTCGTTACTTAAATTTGTCTGTCCCTCTAACCGTCTTGTTTTCTTTTGTTCAGTCTACAAGCCGTCCTATCATACATATTCAAGTGAAATCTGGTACGTCGATGTGTTTTGGCCCAAGAACGAAGGCTACTGAAAATGGTTCGGATGGAACCACTTCGTTGACTACTTTCCATCATCATAAAAAGTCATTGTAAGAACACCCGAAGGGTAGGGTGGTGTATACTAGGGTCTACAATTATGACTTCTTTTAGCAAGTCTTGCAAAGCAACCTCTACTTAACCTATGACTACAAACCACAACTTTATGTCCACAACAGTGAACAAAAGTTTTCTAAAAACTGACGATGCTTACTAAAAAATCTTATTTTAAGGCATTTGAATGGAAACTAAATCAGCCGACGGTTGACGCATGTCAAAAAGCCTTTAAAACTAAAACAGCCTTTATTTCTTTTCTCTGTCAAATTATCTCAAAAATGAACATAAGAAGCTAAAGTTTGGCGCAAATATTCCTTGATCGCTTACGTTTCCACGGTTACCAGATGGCTGTGATTTGTCCATATGCATGTCCACAATGTGGAAGAAATTGAAACAATCTCGAAAAAACATCGACGAGATTTTCCATCTTTTCGCCTATAATTTTTAAATCCGGGAAAATGATTCGAAAAACATCTGACATTCGACAACTTTTTGTTATAATCTAAGAAAATCAAATAATTATTCGGTAGTTTCCTGCATAGAAGTGAAACTGTTGTTCGGATTGATTTTTGAAGACAGAGTTTTGATGTTTTTTTTTTTAATTTTTTTTTCATTTATTCATTTTTCTTTTTTAATTGCATATATAATTTACAATTTATCTAAGAAAATAATAAGTAAATTTTGTATCGAACAGACAAAATTTATTGTTCCTAAAGCCAATGTAACAATAGAAATATAATGTTAAAATAAATGAAACGCAACTATATAAATTTAAAAAATTTATTTAAAAAAAAAAAAAAAAAAAAAATTAATGTCGAAATGGAAAATCCAGAGTTTTGTTTTTGTAATTTGAATAGAAGGACAGTTAGACAGATAAAGCAATATTATGAAATCATTTTTGCGATATTTCTGTTATTAAGGAATACATATACATATAGATGGTCTACAGGGTATTCCTATTATCTTAGCGAATAATTGACAAATGTTAATATAAGAAACATGGCTGAATAGTTTCCGATCTAAATAAAATATTTTGCAAAATTCGATTTTGTTCATTAACGTAGACTCCTTTAAGAATGGTAAGCTCCTTTATAATATTCATAAGAGATGACCTTCGAAATACCCTCCTTTGTCCATAACTAACTAATGATTTGATCCAAACCCATTTTCCGAAGCATAGTTTTGAGATTCCTCGACTGCTGTAAAGGTCGCTTGTGGGGTTAGATACAGAGAAGACCTTCGAAATACCCTCCTAACTATTGATTTGATCTAAATCCATTTTCCGGAGCACCCTTTTAAGATTGTTGCAATAGTTGCTTGTAGGGTGAAATATAGAAAACAGAGTAAGTGAGTTGAACTTCAATTCATGCAATGTTGCCATTGCATCCATAGATTTGCGACTCGTCGTTTGAACAAGCATGACACCCAAAGTGCGCTCAGCTTTTCCATACAAACACGCATCACATCTTGATAGCCTCCAGCAATTCTCTAACCGTAATTCTATCAACGGCTATAGTTGCTTTAAAGTCAACTTAAACGTCCTCATTGACTTTTGCTGCGAACGATCGTCCTCATCCAAACTGATAATCCCTTACTTCCAAAACTTGACCGTGTGCTTGACCGACCAGTACACAGGATCCAACTCATCTGCTTCTCCGGGTACGTAATTTTTTCTTTTTTCACAAATATACTGACATTGACACATTTAGACGGTTGGCAAACAACTATTGCGCGCCGTAATCTATGGGTATTCGCTAGGGCAAGTACAAAGATATTTGTGGATAAATGCTACTATCTTCCTCTTTAGACCGGAAACTGTTCAGACAATCTACTTATAGCATATATTTAGCCTAGTCTCCATATTCAGAAGACGAGATGAACTAGTTTTTTGAAATATTTTAACTCATTGTAATACGCTTCGAGAGTTTCATAAATCATATAGCACCGAGTATCATCTTCTTTTTGTCTGTCCGCCAATCGAATTACTTTTAAAATCCCTCAACTATATCCAAAAGAATGCAATTGATTCTGCTTAAGTTTCAAAAGCAGCTAAAACTGTCGAAGAGCATGGGTAAAGTTCCACATCAACCAACGTATGGGTACCATAAAGATTGAAGTTTAGTTTTAATTTGCTCCTTAATAGAAATCAAGAGTCAGCTTAATTCTAGGGCTAAGCTTTAGGTTCGGAATTG